GGGGCATCCCCTTGCTTTTGGATGTGCCAACTTTCTCCCTGCTCGTGAAGAGACTGAAGATGACGCCAGCATCGCAGCGCACATTGAATATATGAAGATGGAGGTAAAAAGTAAGATTCCCGACCACCTTGCTATCAACACATCGCTTCAGTGCACGTTCCCCGACAGGCGGCGATGCACCATCAGCAATCCATCATTTCAAGACATGAAGGAGCAGTACCCGTGCTTGTTCGACCCTCATCAGGTGAATTAATTTGAATGGGAAACTGTTACCTTTTTTGCGTCATCATTTTGTTTACGAATGTTTGACAGCATAAGAGATTATGTTTGCTTGAAACTATATAATTAATTGTCAAAAAGTTTTTGCTCATCTATAAAAGGTCACATAACTTTAATTTTATTAATATATAGTATAATAATTATTATATTTGTATATATAATGGAGCTAACTCTTTCATTTATGCCCTGGACTGGATGGAATTCTAATGGCTCTTGTTGTGTTTTACAGTTCTATTTATTGCATGGAACAGAGATATTATGCAAGCCGTTTCTATTAACAGAAGTCCCTCATGTACTAATACCATACTTCTTCCACAGTTAATTCAAGAATTCAACCGAATAACTGGAGTCGATTTGGCGGGCGTGATGACCGTGTCCTTGAAGAAGTACGCTAGCTCCATCATACAGTTAGCTCACAATGATGGAACCCAAATGGAAGGAGATGGTAAGACACTTTTCCATATTGTCGCATTCTACAACTAATGACTAGAAATGAAATTGAAAGTACCCTTACAGGCCTAAAATAGGGTTGCAGCAGGTTTCTACCCAGATAGCGCTCCGTTTACTCACATGGGATGGGTATTTGAAGTGAAAAAGTTTTGTTAACAAATCCGACAAATAATCATAATATTCATTGACTAACAGCCTCCTAGCTTGCCGACAGAGACTATAATGTTATCTGAAGCAGCAAATATTTTTGTGCCCAAAGCATTTTCTGTAAATTATCAACAATTTTACAGAACAAGGGAGACTTTCGTAACTTGCATCATGTATTGACTGCTTTGTTAAAGGTATCGCGCATTTACCTATATATGTTGTTGCAATTACAATTAATATAATTAATAATACTAATTCCCTTCATCCTAAAGTAATTTTTTTAACTTCCTAAACATTTAACGTTATAATTTTCGCATCTTCGATTACCTTGCCTAGCATTTCGTCAGTACCTTGTCAGCTCATAATTAAGACATAATTATCAAAAGAGATTGCGGGATGGTAGGGCAAATAAAAAACCTGGGTGTTTTGTAGCCTTCCTCACGATTAGGCTCATTGCCTATTCAGCTTTCTTCTTTGAAAGTTCATCGCTTAACTTTTTTCAACAGAATATGACTTAGCGGTTTCAGCGTTTAATAATAATAATAATAGCGGTTTCCGCGTTTAGTAGGCCGTAGGCCTGTCGCCGATTCTTGACATCGCAGAACATTCACAGCATTTTGCGGTCTCGAACTCGCAACTCACTGCTACAATTCTGCTGTGCTTAACCGCCCGGCCTCTTTGCCGATTCTGACCAGAAACTGACGCACAGAGCTGGGATCGAACCCGCGCCTCTCTGCGCCAATCTTGGTACTCTGAACTGTTACCACTAGGCCACCCTGCCTGACTTGAACGAGGTGGCTATGTCCTTGCTCCCTAAACTGATGAGGGAGCCACTTCAATCATCTACCTCACTTGCCCTGCCGGTAAGAATCCGTGACGAATAAATGTTTGTGCTTTAAGGCTGGTAGTCAGTATGCAGCAAAGTCTGAGAGCGAGCTTTTCGCGATCATCGTATGAAATCCTTGATCTGCCCAAAGCTCCGCCAGTCGCTACCCTCACCAGCCCCTTTCTAGCTGCAGCTGGAGTAATTACGGCATCTCATTTACGAGTGGAGTAAAGTCCAGCCTAATTTGTGATTAAAGATTTATAATAAATAGATTGTACCAAATCTAATCATTTCAATTTATAGATGGTACCAAATCCCGCTTGTCTGAAAAAAACTATCATATTTATTTTTTTGTGCAGGAATGTGGGAAGGAACCAATGCTGATTCTTAATGAAGCTGATGGAGTGGTCACCGGGCAAGTCATAGCAGAAGACGTGGTTCTGTGCGAGATATGTAGCTACTTTCAGGGGTTATGTGTTCTCTTTGCTGCCTGCTATGCCTTCAATACACATTACAATAAAAAACATCGAAACACCCTGTGCTTCACTGAAAGAGTGTTAATTGGGATGGTTGGATTATGGCCATTGTAAAGAAATTGAATGAAAAGTGTAACTAGTTCAAGTGACCCGAGACTAATGTCAAACACATCGTCTCTATTTTTAGTGACGATAGTTCAATTTGCTGACGTCGTTGCTTTTTTTGCGGCCTAATATTGTTGCAAGGTTTCATTGTCTTATTTCTTGTTTGTTTTATTTTAGGTTTGTCATATTTTGTGTTTGTTTTAATTAATGTTTGTCGTATTTTATGTTTGTCTTATTTTATGTTTGTCTTATTTTCTGTTTGTCTTATTTTCTGTTTGTCTTAATTCATGTTTGTCTTATTTTCTGTTTGTCTTATTTTATGTTTGTCTTATTTTCTTTTTTTCTTATTTTATGTTTGTCTTATTTTCTGTTTGTCTTATTTTCTGTTTGTCTTATTTTCTGTTTGTCTTAATTCTTGTTTTTCTTATTTTATGTTTGTCTTATTTTCTGTTTGTCGTATTTTCTGTTTGTCTTAATTCTTGTTTGTCTTATTTTATGTTTGTCTTATTTTATATTTGTATTCGTTTCTTGAATTTTGACTCCATTGCTATAGTGAAGTTATAGTTTGTTAAGTAGTGGACGCAATTGTATTAAGTAGTGGACGCCTCGCCGGCTGGCTGAGTGGCGTTTTACGCAACTGTGTCAACTCATTTTAGGACAAGCCGGGATAGACACTTCGGTGCGTAGTTTTAACGCAGCGATTTGCTTCAGTGCAGCAGCTGGAACGAGCATGCAGCAGCTGGAACGAGCATGCAGCAGCTGTAACGTGGAAGCAGCAGCTGTAACGCGTCCTCAGAAGCTGTAACGTGGACGAAAAATCTGTAAAGCGCACGCAAAAGCTGTAACGTGCACGTAGCAACTGTAACATGCACTCAGCACCTGTAACGTGCACTCAACAGCTGTAACGTGCACACAGCAGCTGTAACATGCACTCAGCAACTGTAACGTGCACTCAACAGCTGTAACGTGCACACAGCAGCTGTAACGATCACGTAACAGGTGTAACAAATCAACAAGCGCTGCCTTCTCAATCTTGTTTGTCTTATTTCATGTTTGTCTTATTTCATGTTTGTCTTATTTTCTGTTTGTCTTATTTTCTGTTTGTCTTAATTCATGTTTGTCTTATTTCATGTGTGTCTTATTTTATGTTTTTCTTATTTTATGCTTGTCTTAATTCACGTTTGTCTTATTTTATGTTTATTTTATTTCATGTTTGTCTGGTTTCATGTTTGTGTTATTTCAAGTTTGTCTTATTTTATGTTTGCTTTATTTTATGTTTGTATTCGTTTGTTAAATTTTAACGCCATTGTTATAGTGAAGTAATAGTTTGTTAAGTAGTGGATGTAATTATATTAAGTAGTGGACGCATTTATATTAAGTAGTGGACGCAATTATATTACGTAGTGGACGCAATTATATTAAGTAGTGGACGCAATTATATAGCGAACTATTCTAACAAAGCGAATTTATAGCGAACTATTCCAATAAAATGACGTATTTTCTGCAGTGTTTCTTTAACCTATAAACTTTTCATTACATTTGTTGTTCTAATTCGCCAGACTGCAGAGAAACGCCGGTTGGAAGTTTACTGAGGCTTCCTATATTGTGCGCTCATATTAACGCGCTAATAGTAGCTTAAATTCAGCGTTAATAGTAGCTTTAAATAAGCGCTAATAGTAGCTTGAAATGAGCGTTAATAGTAGCTTTAAATAAGCACTAATAGTAGCATGAAATAAGCGCTAATAGCAGCTTGAAATAAGCGCTAATAGTAGCTTGAAATAAGCGCTAATAGTAGCTTGAAATAAGCGCTAATAGTAGCTTGAAATAAGCGCTAAAAGTAGCTTGAAATACGCGCTATGGCTGGCTGAGTGGCGTTTTACGCGCCTGTGCCAACTCATTTTGGGACAAGCCGGGATAGACACTTAGGTGCGTAGTTTTAACGCAGCGATTTGTTTCAGTGTATACATTATCATGGTGAAAGACTTCTTGGTAAATCGTTAAATCGGATTTGGCTAAGATAAAAAAATACCTACAAATAAATTGTCAACATGTAACCTGAAAGTGAGAGGTGGTAACATCGTGCATCAGTGATAAGGAAGCACAAATTGAATTCACAAACATGTTGGACTTCAATGAATTCAACAACACTTTTTGGTAAAATGAGCCCCTCTTGAAATCACATATCCAATAATGGTTTCATGAATTCTCCAGTTAATATTCTTTTCAATGAATTTTAAAGTAAAGAAAATAGTCAAAAAGTTCACCATTTCTTATAAGCGAAAACATTTCGGAGTCCAGCTCCATCGTAAGTTCAAAACCTAGAACACAGGTACAAACAATTAGTAGCCTAAAATTCATATTCAAACAATTCACCTAAACTTGAGGACATTAGAACTAAAATCGAAGATAACAGAAATAAAAATTAACTACATGTTTTATGTACGTCATTATAGAGTCTCACCGATTTGATCGGTTATTCATGCTGTTATCCGCAGTTGGAATTCTGTATGAAAGACGTCTTGTACCTTTATATATATATATATATTACAACGCTAAAATTGAAATTTGGACATGACATAAGTTCATACAGAAAGTATTGTAGATACGGTTACATGCATATTGTAGATATGGTTACAACAGCGGTCATAAGACTGACGAACGAGTCCTTAATTCAATTGTGCAAAATAACATCAGCTGCACAACAGCAACTGACCGAATACAACTTTTGATTGGTATATTGGCCCTATGTAGAAATCATGTGATTTCTACGTGGCCTAGCTGGGCAGAATTTTCACAAAAACCATGGGGCTGCCATATGGCATTTTCACATGTGGCCAATATTGTCATGCCACTTGGGACCAACATGGGCCCTTTTGAAAATTGTTACTAGGGTTGGAGGTCGGACAGGCGCCGCGTTTCGCCAGTTAGCAACGCGTGCCACGAATGCTTCATTTAATCGTTAATGTATAACTTTGGCGGCATTTATTTTCCTGTATGTATTGATAATAACTTCGACTCCTAGGTGTGATGCATGAAAAATTCAATAGGACAATGCGGCATTTAATATTCTGTTATACATCATAACCAACATTACAGTTCCGTAATTTGCCGCAGGACTTCAAACGCTCACGACGATTCGTCGTCGCATCGAGTTCGCCCCCCCGGCGGCAGTTAGGGACTCGTGGTAGCGTAAAGCCTTCACCGATGAGCTGATTTGATCCTAGGGTGCATGTGAAATTTTGGCCATTCATATCTAAACTAACTGAAGTATAGCATCGCTAAGGCTTAAAATATTTAGACTGTTAATGTCCAACCCGAGGAAAATGAAACGCTCTTTATCTGCTGACTGTGTTCACCGCACCCCGAGCCTCGAGTTGCGCAGCAACTGCAGCACAATTATTGGTCAACTTCATTGAGAAATGCGAGCCTGCATCTATGATGGAGATTTTCATCCTTCATTTCTTTTTGCTTTATTTTCATCCTTAAGAACATCATTACTTATTAAGGTTCCCATCATTCATTCATAGTGAGCCTGAATGCATTAGAATCACGTATATATGCTGTTAGAATAGTTCAGTGGATTGAATAGTTTCATCGTCGCCTTCGAGTTCATCGCCAGGCGGGAGTGTGGGGCTCATCGCAGGGCTGAACCTAAACCACCTTCGCTGTGGTGGCGGAAAGCCTACACCAAGGCGCTGATTCGCTCCTTAGGTGCATGTGAAATGTTGTCAATTCTTATACAAGCTAACTGAAGTTTGGCATCGCTAAGGTTTAAGTGATTTAGAAGACAACTGGAACTAGACAGACAATCAACGTCCAACTCGAGGAAGACATGCGCATGAAACGCGCCTGCACTGAAACAAATCGGTGTGTTGGTTGCAGACATCTCAACTAGCTAAAACGCTCAATGTAGATAAACGAATCATTCCGAAACATTCGTTCGCCGTTTTTCTCAACAGTTCGTTCGCCGTCTTCTCTAATTTTCGCTCAGCCAGCCACAGTTGCTGCAGCTATGCGGATGACGTCATGGCAGGATCAATAATGAAAGCCGAAAATATACATACAAGTTCGAATTTAATAGTTAACAAAAATTTATAATAGTATAAATATTCCTAAAAAATGTACAAATTAAATTATTATGTTTTGTGATATAATGCACGTAAAAACACATCCAAAATCATGCTTTATAATTTTCTTCACTTTCAGCATGGCTTTCAGTTTTCTGGGGCATTCTGCGGCTGACACTTGGCGCGAAAGTTGAGAGGAAACCTGTTGTGTAACCTAAATGTCATACGTAAAGTTGGCCAGCTTATGAATAATTTGTATAGGTTATTGTGTTGTGTGAATAATCAGCCCCGAATCTTGAATTTTTTAGTTCGTATCTACTGTATTTTGTACTACAATACATGCCCAAAACTGGCACTTACACCGTTGGGCCGACTTGGGCGTCGTACATGCAGTGCAAGTGCAGTAAACCGTTGGGTAGCCTATACCTAATTGAATAATTCAGAGAATAGACTGAACCGATTAGTTAGGTACTGTCTTACATTCTATTGTGCTACTGTTACAGTATAATATGCGAGATCACAATTTTTGAAGTGATGGATTGGTTGATTTAGCCTTGATTTCATGTGACTTGATGTGACTCATCCACCCACAAAAGGTGGCACCGTGGCTTTGTTGTGGGTGAAATTGAATCATTTTCTTAATATAGGAGTTATCAATTAGGATTTTGTGCCCGGTGAGTAGTTGACATAATTGAGTGTTTATTCAGGTGATTTCATTAATTGGCCAGAGAAAATTTGTTTCATTTATGGTGAATTCTCTGTGGAACAATTATGAATGTATGATGCACCAACTCTAAAACTCTAATGTCATAGAACGTCACCTTGTATAGGCTATTAAGCCTTTTAAGGCTAATCATTAGAATAATACTCAACACTAGCCTGCCACACAGAAATCACTGAGTATCAACAGTATAATTTTTTTGTTTGGTGTTAATATCTCTTTCCACAGACCTACTCCGGACTAACCTGTTAGAGACAATGAACCACTTTTGCTGTTCCTTCTGTAGTTTTTCTTCTAAATTTCACTCTATCTTACTTTATCATTACTCCAAGGATCATGAAAATGAACCCAATTTTAGGCTCAACTGTCAAATAAATGGATGCTTGAACCAGTATTCAAAGGTTAATTCTCTTAGAAGGCATATTGCTAGAGCCCATCCAGAGTTTTGCAGGAAAAAACCACAGCATATTGGGTCTTCTAAACACCCTCAGACAAGCCCTGCGCCTGCAGATCTAAGTGATTTGGAACATTTGAATTCTATCAATGAAGAACAGTCTTCGGAGCAAGATGAGAAAAATTATTTTTCTGAACTCCATAATAACAGAGTTAACCTGCTAAATGCTGAGTCTGTTAGTAACTTCCTAATGGAATTACGAGAAGAGAAAGGTGTCTCATCCAAGAATTGCAATGCAGTGGTAAGAAAATTTGAAGATATAATAGATGGTTGCATTGAAGGCACTGAAGCTGCATTAAATAGGAGCAATATTACTGACCTGGATAAAGCGCACTACCTACTGCACTATGCAAAACAATATAGTTCATTTGGACCACTTATTCACCACAGCACATTGCCTTTTGAACGGAAGCATAGCTACTTCAAAAATATCATGAGAAGAACCAAAAATTTCAAAAGTCCTTGCCAAACTATGGCAATGAAGCACCAATTGATGCAAAGCTTGCATCACAAGGCAGACAACTTCCTTCCTGATGACAGAGCCAAATTTCAAAAGATAGTAAAAACAGAAAAAGTTCCTTTAGAGCTACAAAACTATGTAAATTCTCACATTTCAAGTGATTGTAGTACCTTCTCTTTCTGCTTAAAAGCCCATGTTAATGGCATAAGTTATTCTACTGACCAATCTGTACTAATCTCTGCCAATGATATGGATCATGTTTATGGCAAAATTGCCATAATTACATCAGTTAATGGACAGGTCCTGCTAGTAGTTAAACTATTGAAAACCTTGTATTTCTCCACCCACCATCATGCCTATGTCACAGTTATGACTGATGAAATTTCTGCTGTAAACACAGAAAATCTTAAATCACATGTCCCTATCCCAACTTACCAGTGTTCAAAATTTTTTTTTATTAGGCCATTTTTCTCTGTGACATAGCTTCTTAATTTCCTCTAACATGCATACTTATATTGTAAAATATAAACATATAAACATAAAGATAGCTGTTGAAGAAAAAAAAAATATAATAACTGAAGCAAAAACAAAGCTCCATGGAAAAGTTCCTGTTCCGGAAAATGTAGTGATAATGGTTTTTGATGCTGACTTCAAAGAATACTTCATGATAGACGATCTTCAAGAGGCGCCTGAGAAAGGAATTATCAAGTTTGAGGACAGAGAAGAATTTGATGGAAATGCGTGAGTAAATAAATAATGGACTGCTTTCATTTTTATATTTAATTTAAATTGCCTGAAAATTTTCAAAATTCTTCCAGTGTCATCTATTGTTGCAAGAGGCTTCATGGTGAGAGATGCAATCATGGCATTTTGGGGACGTAAATAATAATAATTAATAATTCAGCGGGAAGTAAATAATAATAATAATAATAATTCATAATAATAATAATTCACAATAATTTATAATAATAATTGGGGACGTGAATAATAATAATGATTCAGCATTGGATTTATTTATGTTGCATATATATTTGCTATTGCCTCATTTACCATGTGTTTTGCAATCTAGACTTAGTTTTGCTAAAACATGTCTTTTGCAATGTAGACCGTGCTCTGCAGACTAATCAATTAATATAGAATGTGGTTTATCCATGAGCTGACCTCTCATGTGTGCCTGAAAGAATATGTCTGGCTTAAAAGAATGAGATAAATATGTTTACATGCCTAATTTCCTCCCAAAAACTTGCATTAACATCAATATTTCATATTCTTACATGAATGTTAACATGAATTCATATTCCAGGAGCTTCTTAACTGCTGGGACCTCAATGCAAACTGCTTCCTCAAAGTGCTGGGATACAATGCAGAAAACTATTGACAATGAAGAATTTCTACAATCTAATGCACCGCATCCACAAGACCATTCCATTGCTGGCACCTTCGAAGACAAAATAGATCTTTATGATCTGGATCAAAATAGATCTTCCAAGACTTATTTGGAAGATGATAGTATCAACTCGGTCAACCCGGTCCATCAACCTGGTTCATCAGATGCAAACTGTGGGCAAGAAAGCATGTCCAGTGGAAGTTCTAATAAATGGCCCACTGTGTTCAAGATTCCAGTCCAGAGATTTCAGCCTACGCTACGCCAGGCTTTAGCAAGTAAACAAATTCTTCTGCCTGGACATCAAAGGATGCTTATCCAGCATTTGTACGAGGCAGTGATTTATTTTACAACGTAAGTAACTATATGAGTTAGTAAAATATTTATTTTGTAAACACCTTCATGTCCCACATTAAAGATTTGCTGCTGGAAACTACAGTATTATTAGTTGAATTCATTTTAAAACAAATTTTCTGTTAATCGCAGCGATATGTTGAAAAACTTTATTACATTATTTTGTCTACTTTATTCTGGTGTAACCAGAGCTGGCAATCCTTTTGTTTCCTATGTAGGGTTTGCCATATTTATGACAACGTATGTTTTTCTAATATTCATGAAACAAACAGGCAAATTAATTTTTTGTTGGATGACGTAATATAGCCAAGAACTACCTATCTAAACTATTCTCAAAGATATTTATTCAATATTACCACCCTTATTTTTTATGACGCCTCCAACTACGCTGGAAAGCTTCACAGGAGACTCGAAGTATTTCTTAATTGAGGGATCAAGTCCCATTCTTGTTTCAATTTAGATTTCAAAATAACCAATTACTCATGAGATGTTCTGTAGACCCTACTCTTTAAAAAAGCCCACACAGCAGAAAAGTCTCTAGGATTCAAATCAGGGCTTTTTAATGGCCTTTCATTTTTGCTATTGTGGTGTTAGGGTTATGAGTTTTGGATAATGTTCGAAACGTGTGATTTGAATATTTCCTTGATGCTTAAGTGACATACTTATTCCAACGTTCAGGTATCCCACACCGTGGCAGTACAAGTCTGTCATTGTGGCTCTGCTGTCAATGTATCCTCACCTTGGCAACGGACTATCTCACGGTGATGCTGAAGTGAGTTTTATTGCTTCATTAATCATAAGCTCACCTACCGTTTGATTTCATCGTGAAGTAACTAGTCTCTTTCGAATCTGCAGTGAGTGTGTATGCATGCAACTGTCTGGATCCTTAGTACATTTTAATTGAATTTTCTTCGAGCGTGCTGCAGTGACATAGAAATTGCTTTTTAAGGCTGGTGGTCAGAATGCAGCAAAGTCTGAGAGCGAGGATTTTGCGCCCATTACGTAAAATTCTAGATCTGTCCGAAGCTCGGCCAGTCGCTACCCTCGAGCTAGTACTCTTTGTAATATGATATCCTAACCAGCCTCCTCTTTCTTGCGGCAACTGGCCGCTTTCAGATGGCTGCAAGCGACCAGATATTAAGATTATTAAGTAAATAAATAGCTGAGTAAGCATGGAAAAATCCATATCGCCATCTCATTTACGGGTGGAGTAAAGTCTATCCTAATTTGTGAAGAAGCGCTTAGGGAAGAGCTGAGTCTGTTCGAACACTATTCAATAATGATGTATATAGGTGAAACGTTATTTTACTAAACTGTTCAAACTTTTCAGACTTACTGGAGGCATAAACTTTCGCACAAGTTCAGAAACATGAGAAGAACAGTGGATAGTAAACTCCCTGAAGTTGAGTGCATGAGGGAGAAAATTAAAATTTGGAAAACTAATAAGAATGCATTGAAAGAGAAAATGGGGCATCCCCTGGCTTTTGGATGTGCCAACTTTCTCCCTGCTCGTGAAGAGACTGAAGATGACGCCAGCATCGCAGCGCACATTGAATATATGAAGATGGAGATAAAAAATAAGATTCCCGACCACCTTGCTATCAACACATCGCTTCAGTGCACGTTCCCCGACAGGCGGCGATACATCATCAGCAATCCCACTTTTCATGACATGAAGGAGCAGTACCCGTGCTTGTTCGACCCTCATCAGGTGAATTAATTTGAATCGGAAATTGTTACCTCTTTCATCATTTTGTTTACAAACGTTTGACACCATAAGAGATTATGTTTGCTTTAAACTACCTATATAAATAATTGTCAAAAAGTTTTTGCTCATCTACAAAATGTCACATAACTTTAATTTTATTAATATATAACATAATAATTACTATATTTGTATATATAATGGGGCTAACTCTTTCATTTATGCCCTGGACTGGATGGAATTCTAATGGCTCTTGTTGTGTTTCACAGTTCTATTTATTGCATGGAACAGAGATATTATGCAAGCCGTTTCTATTATCAGAAGTCCCTCATGTACTAATACCATACTTCTTCCACAGTTAATTCAAGAATTCAACAGAATCAGCGAAGTTGATTTGGCGGGCGTGATGACCGTGTCCTTGAAGAAGTACGCTAGCTCCATCATACAGTTAGCTCACAATGATGGGACGCAAATGGAAGGAGATGGTAAGACACTTTTCCATATTGCCCCATTATACAACTAATGACTTGAAATGAAATTGAAAGTACCCTTACAGGCCTAAAATAGGGTTGCAGCAGGTTTCTACCCAGATAGCGCTCCGTTTACTCACAGGGGATGGGTATTTGAAATGAAAAAGTTTTGTTAACAATTCCAACAAATAATCATAATATTCATTGACTAACAGCCTCCTAGCTTGCCAACAGAGACTATAATGTTATCTGAAGCAGCAAATATTTTTGTGCCCAAAGCATTTTCTGTAAATTATCAACAATTTTACAGAACAAGGACTTTCGTAACTTGCATCATGTATTGACTGCTTTGTTAAAGGTATCGCGCATTTACCTATATATGTTGTTGCAATTGCAATTAATACAATTAATAATACTAATTCCCTACATCCTTTAGTAATTTTTTTCACTTACTAAACATTTAACTTTATAATTTTCGCATCTTCGATTATCTTGCTTAGCATTTCGTCAGTACCTTGTCAGCTCATAATTAAGACATAATTATCAAAAGAGATTGCGGGATGGTAGGGCAAATTAAAAACCTGGGTGTTTTGTAGCTTTCCTCACAATTAGGCTCATTGCCTATTCAGCTTTCTTCTTTGAAAGTTCATCGCTTGACTTTTTTCAACAGAATATGACTCGAACGAGGTGGCTATGTCCTTGCTCCCTAAACTGATGAGGGAGCCACTTCAATCATCTACCTCACTTGCCCTGCCTGTAAGAATCCGTGACGAATAAATGTTGGTGCTTTTAGGCTGGTAGTCAGAATGCAGCAAAGTCTGAGAGCGAGTTTTTCGCGATCATCGTGTGAAATCCTTGATCTGCCCGAAGCTCCGCCAGTCGCTACCTTCACCGGCCCCTTTCTCGCGGTAACTGGAGTAATTACGGCATCTCATTTACGAGTGGAGTAAAGTCCAGCCTAATTTGTGATTAAAGATGTATAATAAATAGATTGTACCAAATCTAATTATTTTAATTCACAGATTGTACCAAATACCGCTTGTCTGAAAAAAAAATTATATATTTTTTTTGTGCAGGAATGTGGGAAGGAGCCAATGCTGATTCTTAATGAAGCTGATGGAGTGGTTACGGGGCAAGTCATAGCAGAAGACGTGGTTCTGTGCGAGATATGTAGCTACTTTCAGGGGTTATGTGTTCTCTTTGCTTCCTGCTATGCCTTCAATACACATTACAATAAAAAACATAGAAACACTCTGTGTTTCATTGAAAGAGTGTTAATTGGGATGGATGGAAAAAAGCTATCTCCTTTTATCATGTCAATTGTAAAGAAATTGAATGAAAAGTGCAACTAATTCAAGTGATCCGAGTCTAATGTCAAACACATCGTCTCTATTTTTAGTGACGATAGTTCAATTTGCTGACATTGTTGCTTTTTTGCGGCCTAATATTGCTACAAGGTTTCTTTGTCTTATTTCTTGTTTGTTATATTTTAGGTTTATCATATTTTATCTTTGTCTTAATTAATGTTTGTCTTATTTCAAGTTTGTCTTATTTTATGTTTGTCTTATTCTATGTTTTTCTTATTTCATGTTTGTCTTATTTTATGTTTGTATTCGTTTCTTGAATTTTGACTCCATTGCTATAGTGAAGTTATAGTTTGTTAAGCAGTGGACGCAATTATATTAAGCAGTGGACGCAATTATATTAAGCAGTGGGCGCAATTATATTAAGCAGTGGACGCAATTATATTAAGCAGTGGATTCAATTATATTAAGCAGTGGATTCAATTATATTAAGCAGTGGATGCAATTATATTAAGCAGTGGACGCAATTATATTAAGCAGTGGGCGCAATTATATTAAGCAGTGGACGCAATTATATTAAGCAGTGGACGCAATTAAGTTTTATGTTTTTCTGTTTGTCTTATTTTACGTTTGTCTTATTTTCTATTTGTCTTATTTTCTGTTTGTCTTCATTCATGTTTGTCTTATTTTATGTTTGCCTTGTTTTATGATATTCTGTTCGTTTTATTTTACGCGTTTGTCTCATTTCATGTTTGTCTTACTTTCTGTTTGTCCTAATTCGTGTTTGTCTTATTTTATGATTATCTTATTTCATGTTTGTCTTATTTTATGTTTGTCTTATTTCATGTTTGTCTTATTTTATGATTATCTTATTTCATGTTTGTCTTATTTTATGTTTGTCTTATTTCATGTTTGTCTTATTTTACGATTATCTTATTTCATGTTTGTCTTATTTTATGTTTGTCTTATTTCATGTTTGTCTTATTTTACGTTTCTCTTATTTTACGTTTGTCTTATTTCATGTTTGTCTTATTTCATGTTTGTCTTATTTCATGTTTGTCATATTTCATGTTTGTCTTATTTCATGTTTGTCTTATTTCTTTTTTGTCTTATATCATTTTTGTCTTACTTCATTTTTGTCTTATTTCATGTTTGTCTTATTTTACGTTTGTCTTATTTCATGTTTGTCATATTTCATGTTTGTCATATTTCATGTTTGTCTTATTTCTTTTTTGTCTTATATCATTTTTGTTTTACTTCATTTTTGTCTTATTTCATGTTTGTCTTATTTTACGTTTGTCTTATTTCATGTTTGTCTTATTTCATGTTTGTCATATTTCATGTTTGTCATATTTCATGTTTGTCTTATTTCATGTTTGTCTTATTTCTTTTTTGTCTTATATCATTTTTGTCTTACTTCATTTTTGTCTTATTTCATGTTTGTCATTTTTTATGTTTGTTTTATTTTATATTTGTATTCGTTTGTTAAATATTGACGCTATTCTTATAGTGAAGTGTGAGTTTGTTAAGTAGTGGATGCAATTGTATTAAGTAGTGGACGCAATTATATAGCGAACTATTCTAATAAAATGACGTATTTCCTGCGGCATTTTTCTTAACCTATAAGCTTTTCATTATATTTGTTCTTATAATTCACCAGTCTGCAGATAAACGCCGGTTGGAAGTTAACTGATTCTTATATTGTGCGCTCATATTAACGAGCTAATAGTAGCTAAAATTCAGCGTTAATAGTAGCTTCAAATAAGCGCTGAAAGAAGCTTTAAATAAGCGCTGAAAGTAGCCTCGCCGGCTGGCTGAGTGGCGTTTTACGCGCCTGTGCCAACTCATTTTAGGACAAGCCGGGATAGACACTTTGGTGCGTAGTTTTAACGCAGCGATTTGTTTCAGTGTGATCAGCCGAAGATGATCACCGCACTACAGCGCATGCATTCACCCCGAACCTCGTAGTGCCCAGCTGAGAGCAACTCCAGCTCAATTGAACATTTTTGGGGGAAATACGTCTAAGAATTTTTAAATATAGACGATTATAATTCGTTGCATTTTCGATAATGGCTATGAACCATTTTAAGAGTCTGGGAAATATTTTACACATTGTTGTTTTACAAAAGCTCAGGAAAATTCATCAGGTAATGATGTTCACAATGATTGCTGAACCAGCCTTCCTCGCGCTTCGACACTTCTAACATCATTTACCTATTAGCCAGTTAGGCTACAAAAATTAAATGCATTACAAAATACATCATTTTTTTCTACTGTGCGTAATTCGAGCTCTGATGGATAACGCTTGACTGAACAAATAGTAAAATCGAAGAAGTTCAACATAAACTGAACTATTCCCGTTACTCTGATGAAGATCAATGACTATATGACACAAAAAATCAGATTATGACAGCGAATCTACATCACCAACAATAGTTTACTGGTATAACTTTATTATTTACATTTGGAACATGTAGCAAATTTCCAAATTATTTTAGAGTAATTTTCTCAAACAAATTTTTTTTTCAGATCCAACACCTGCAAGGAAATTCCCGTGCCACGATTCAGATTAAATAAAAATGTAGTGAATTATAGTTTGAAGATCGCATGTTTCGAGTAATTGATCCAATAACGTTCCAGAGTTCCAATAACGATCCAATAGGCGCATTTCTAAAAAAATATAGCTCAGTACTCACTGCAGTGAGTGACAGAGAGCGCATTTTCTCGTCGACGAAAATTTGAGGTCACGGACGGACGGACAGACGGATGGAAAGACAGACAGACGGATATGGCGAGCGCAATAGTGCATTTTTTCCATAAATGAGAAAATGCGCTAAAAATGTTCCCTGTTTAATGAAATGAGTTTTTCTTCTAAAAATGTATTAATGTTATTCAGTTATTGTTATTATTATTCAGAGCACCTCAAACTGTTTTTTTTTGTGGACATTATCATTACCTTTCCAGAGTGTCTCCCCTATTTGTACAATTACAAATGGGAAGCGCTGGCTCAGCCACAGCCTCCAGAGTCCTGACTGAGCCACGCGTGCAGCCCTCGCAAGAAAGTAGTCTCCCTTGCAATCGAGATTTTCTTTCCTCCTTAGCTTTTGCCGACCGAGGCCTCGCGCTATTCGTTGCAGATGAGGCCATATCGTCGCTAGACTGCTTGGACGCGAGGTAAAGTCGGCAACAACGGCCTAGATTTGCGCGTTTGCGAACGTCTCTGCGGCGAACGGCCGCAATGACTGCGAGAATTTCGAACTGGGTAACAGGTCAGGAATGGTGCGTCATTTCTTGGCTCCCCTTCAGTCGTCATCAGTGATAACATGTCTGCTCATGAGATAAGTATATAGCTTTGTCCAAAGCTTCGCGCACATGTAGATTTTGTACAATAACAATACAAGAAACGCAGACTAAATTTAACCCTGATGATCCGGTTCTGAGAACTCCTGAAACCTACAATGAACAAGTCAGCATTGTGAAAAACAATCCTGCCCTTAGTGTTGCATATGGTCTAAAACAAGACAGTGCACTCAATGAGCTTAATTACTTCCATGTGTGCTGGAAATGACCATCCGACATTGCTCATGACATCTTTGAGGGCTTTGGTCTGGAGTATATCAAAGTGACCATTGATCACTGCTTGAAATTTAACTACTTTAATATAGATTACCTTAACACCAAAATAAGTAGCTTTCCATACAAAGGTTCTGATAGGACAAATAGGACAGTAAATCTGAAATCTAAGAGAATAAAGAAGGTTTCAGTTAAACAGAATGCTATATGCAGGAACTGTGCCTTCTGAGGATTTTACCTTTGCTAGTTGGTCACAGGATTCCTGAAAGTGACAATAACTGGAAACTATACACAGATTTCTTGGACATTCTGGATCTAGTTATGGCTCCTAGCTTGAGCAAGGGGCACATACAAGTTCTCTCGAAGATCACAATCCAATTCCTTACTATTATGTCATGTATGAATTCGTAAGTGTCAAGCCAAAAGCTCACTACCTATTGCACTATACAAAACAATATAGTTCATTTGGAGACATTATTCACCACAGCATATTGCCTTTTGAAGATAAGCATTGCTACTTCAAAAATATCATGAGAAGAACTGAAAATTTCAAAAGTCTTTGCCAAACTATGGTAATGAAACACCAATTGATGCAAAGCTTGCATCACAAGGCAGACAACTTCCTTCCTGATGACAGAGCCAATTTCGAAAGATAGTAAAAACTGAACAAGTTCCTATACAGTTACAAAACTATGTAAATTCTCACATTTCAATTGAGTGTAGTACCTCCTATTTCTGCTTAAGAGCCTATGTTAATGGCATGAGTTATTCTATGTACTGATCATTCTGTACTTATCTCTGCCAATGATATGGATTAAGTTTATGGCAAAATTGCCGTAATTACATCAGTTAATGGACGGGTTTTGCTAGTAGTTAAACTGTTGAAAACCTTGTATTTTTCCACCCACCATCATGCCTATGTCACAGTTATGACTGATGAAATTTCTGCTGTAAACAGAGAAAATCTTAAATTACATGTCCCTATCCCAACTTATATATACAAGTGCTCTAAATTACTTTTGATTAGGCAATTTTTCTCTGTGACATAGCTACTTAACCTCCTCTAACATACATACTTATATAGTAAAATATAAACATATCAGCATAAAAATATCTGTTGAAGAAAAATTGAAATTATAAATGTATCAAAACTCAAGCTAACGGGAAAAGTTTCTGTTCCGGAAACTTTTGTGATAATAGTTTTTGATGAAGAATTCAAAGAATACATCATCATTGCTGACTTGCAAGAAGCCCCTAATAGAGGAATCATCAAATTGGAGGACAAAGATGAATTTGATGGAAATGAGTGAGTGAAAAATGGCTGCTTTCATATTTATATTTAATTTAAATTGCCTGAAAATTTTGATAATTCTTCTAGTATCATCTATTGCTGCGAGAGGCTGTCATGGCGAAAGATGCAGTTTATTCATGAGCTGACCTCTCATGTGTGCCTGAAAGAATATGTTGGCTTACAAAAATGAGATAAAAATGTTTACATGCCTAATTTCCTGCCAAAAACTTGCATTAATATGAATATCTCATACACTCATATGAATGTTAACATGGATTCATATTCCAGGAGCTTCTTAACTGCTGGAACCTCAATGCAAACTGAATCCTCAA